GGTAAAATCATTGAAAATGTCATAACTCGGGTTACCAAACGATGCAGTAGCAGCTGATGCACCGCCTTTTGCGTCTGAGCTGTTGACCTCTTCTTGGTAAGAAGCCGACGTTGGAATCGATATCCCCGGGGCACTTGCCAACGGGAAGCTGTTTCGAGGTAGTTCCGAGGGGAAGTTATTGAAGACCGAGTGGGTAGCTGGTAACACTCTGCTGCTGCTAGTGTCCGGGATACTGTTTCTAACCGCCACTGAATCAGTGAGATCGCTTCTCCTTGAAACACTGCTTGACAACATTGGCCGTTGCCCGAGGGACGGTGGCATTGATGAGCCTCCTCGGGGTAGTTGATTCGCTACAGGCATCAGCATTCCGCTGCTCTGAACATTTTGCCCCGCACGCACACCAGCGATTTGTTGCTGCACGCGCATGTGACTACCTGCAAATTGTTTTGGTTCCATACCCGTTGGGACACCGTGCAGCAAATTTATCTGCTTATTACCATTGTTCATTGTCTGCCCATTTCCATCCCCGAATCTTATTTTCGGGTTTTCATAGCTGAAGATGCTTCTCTGATCAACAAGGGGAGAAGAAACTGACATCCCCGGTTTACTGAGTGAAGGCCGACCAAGGCCAGCTGCTTGAAGCTGTGCGAGGCTCTGAGCAGGGAGCTGACCCGCAACAGCTAAAGCTTGAAGATCAAACCCGTTCAACGTAGAAAGAGGACCGAAATTTGGATCTTGACCAGTCATAAACGAATGGTTCAGATTTCCCTGGTGCTGCGATACTCCTCCAAGCCGTCTTAGATATATCCGGTACTTCTGCAATTCCACAACATCAGTAAATCCTAAGCATTAGAACATATCAACCACGAAAAATGTAATGCTATTCGGTCTTATCTAGCGTAAAAGTTCTACCTGGAGGTGACTGGCTACGTTTTCACGCGTTAGCCCGGGTACATTCATCATCTCCAAGATCTTCTTAGGAACCGCTTCTGAATTAAAAAATGCCGAGGAAGGTAAAATTAGACCAGAAAATCACCACTCAAAACACACGCAAATGCATAAACAAAAAAGTATTTTTTTCTCTTACTGTCAACGCCGAGATGATTCACAGCAGCGACAAACTGTTGATGCAATTCAACCGACCAAACAACACGCGGTTTCTTCAAACTCGATGCGTCCTCTTTATCACCCTCTTGGTCATCTATTTCCCCTTCTTTCCGCTTCCTCGAGCTCTTCCAACTCCCTTCATTAACCGAAGACGAGTTGTTATCAGCATCCTCTCTCTGCTGCTGTTGCTGCCTATCCCCGCCATTCTCTTCAATACTTCCAGACTGTTCCGATAAATTCCACTCATTCCGCTTCTTCCTCACCACATGCTGCCATATATTCTTCAATGCCTCGATACGTACAGGTTTGATTAGGTAATCGACTGCACCGTGAGTCACTCCTTTCAACACAACACTCTTCGAATCATCCGCAGACATCACTAAACCATACAAAAAGATTCGAACTTTCAGATCTCAAGAGTAAGCATAAAAAACCGATAAATGTTTAGGGATGAGACGGATTTTAAATTAAACGTACTGATAACTGGTAAATCCATCTCTAGACCAACATGTTCAAGAAGCTTGAATCCATCCATGTCAGGCATATGAACATCACTGATGACAATATCAAAACCATTCTTGTTCTTCCGAAGCAGAGACAATGCAATCTCTGCTCTGTTACATTTCGTTACTGTAAT